TGAACTCCATTCTCACTGACGTGGCACGTATGGATCAATTGCGAAAAAATGACCCATTTCATCCGAAATAGAATTACAAACCGCTTTCACTGGACATCTAGTCAGTGCCTCTGTACACTACACCAGGCACGATTAATTGTGCTTTTTCCACGTCAATCCTACGACCATTGGTTCCTCTATCCAAGCGAAGTACCAGTTTCAAAACTTTTCGCAACTTCTCGTATCCAGGCATCCGTGCAACTGTTAAATTGATCTGCGAACGCTTTGTAAGACGGGGCAAGAACAAAGACAAGACAAAGACAAGAACAAGACAAGGACTTGTTTAGCATGTCAACGTTCGAAAGTCATTCGGCATACCTTATCGCTCATCGGAACTTACGCACAAACAGACAGCAGATTTGACTATATCCATGTTGAAATCGTCGGACCCTCAGCCTATTCCGATGGCACTTCATACACTTTGACATGTATCGATCGTTTCAGCCGATGGCCTGAAGCCATTCCGGTTGGAGGCACACTTGCAGAAACCATCGCCCGTGCACTTGTGAACAGGTGGATGGCTATTTGTGGTGTTTATTCCTACATCACAACTGAGCGCGCTTCACAATTCAAGCTGCAGCTTCTCCAACGGTTGACAGGACGATTCGGTTGGAAATGAATTCTCACTACAGCTTATCATCCCTAAGCGAACGGTTTAGTCGAACTTTTTCATCGACACTTAAAAACCTAGATCAAAGCACACGCTGATCCGACACACTGGACAGATATACCTTCATCTGCGTACAATGTTTCAATCAACCCTACAACCTTTACCTGCAGAACTGGTTTTCGGTACCGCACTACGTAAACTTGGTCAAAGGTTTCACCTAAGTAGCAGACAATAACACCTACCCTTTATTTACGTTACTAAACTGAGGAATCACATGTGCACCCATGGTTCAGTGAAATTATCATCTAATCACCCCAATCTCTCTTTATGCACTCATGATTTCATTCACAACGAATGTGCTGAACAATCTACAACCTCCTTATGACGGCACACATTTTGTTCTTATACGTCATGCTGAACATTTCACTGTCTAGCTAAAAAATAGAACGGAAGTTGTTGGCATTGACTGCTTGAGACCTAATTATACCGATTTTTGGATCCACACTAGAGATAACATCCTTACCTACATAAAAAAGGCTACCGATCTATCCGACAATAACACTTTAAACTAAGGCCTCCACCAAGGAAAAAACACGTGTCACTTGAACCGAACGACGTGTGTTTTGGCCCGACCGATTTGTCGCCTACGAAATCCAGCGACATAATACAATCATTCCTTTATCCTCCCCAGCATATGCACTCACTTTGCTAGAAGGAGGGCATTGTTTTGTCCATTTTTCAGATTTCAAAACACATCTTTGTGGCACTGTACGCACCAGTTAACCTATAGAGCAAAGCCTAATCACACACCACATGATATACACCACGTGGTATACATGCCGACGCCAAAATGACATTTTTGCCTACATCCATCACCACACCCGCTTCGAAGCACGTGACTATCTTGGGTGGTTGCGAATACGATTTAGCACGCACCAACTAAAAGCGCATATGGTTTTCACATCAAGACGCAATACTGCACAATTGGAACGACCGGACAACGGACGTGCACGCTTCCGTTCACGTGCTCAAGGCCCGACGCAGCTATAGTCGAAGCCTCACAAATTTGCATTGGACTCACAGCCACTGTGTATGTACATGAGCTGTCTTTCTCTATTGTTTTTATCATTATTACCTGTACATTGCTGTTAGTTATATTAGTGCCTAGCCTACTGATCTTGTGACCCGTCACGCTTTTAGAGGCACTAATAATTACACTGCTTACCGGTCTCTTGCAGACACGATCCCGTTAGCTAAAGGTTGCATGAGTTGAGGATGAAGCCTGACACAGTGGTTCATGACCTTCTTCTTGGTCATTTGACCGGAGATTCATAGCAGCAGCAATTTGACGGGTTAGCTACAGTGCTCACGCCGTCGAGCTTCCTACTTTTCAAGGAGTTTGACGTAGCTACCAGGTTGGTACAGGTCGTTTCCGATAGGCCGTGTGGTGTTTCAGTGACTATTTGTGCCGCTTTGTTAGAGATTCACTGAACTTATGGACTGCCGACAATCGGTGGAAACTGTGTAAGTATCGGTTTACATGTTTCATTTTTTCGGATCCAGTGGAAGTAAAAGATGATCTAGGTTTTCGGGTGCCCTTGGAAAAAGCCAATTTCCATCCAACCCTTTGGTATATGCTCACTGAGATTACGGAACAGTTTGTAGGGTAGAAGGGACCAAGAACTTTCATATTCCATTCGGTCTGGAGTGGGTACGTCCAAGCGCTTTTAGATCAGGGTTGACATTGACCAGCTGCCTGACGTTCAAAGCTACAGACGCCGTATTTTTAACGCACTGCAAATCCTCCTTATAAAGCCTGAATCGCCGCCTATTGGAAAGGACTGGTGCCTGATCCATGACGTAATTTCTTCAAGAGGAACGATTTCAGTGTTCCTCATTTGCCCACTCATTTTTAACCGGATTTTATATTTATGCGATAGTTTATTATCACCTTGACCGCTGAGATGACCAAACGTTCTTTACAGAATCACAGAAAATTTCGTCAGCTATTTGTTGTTACATTGTTTTATCGGAGTTAACGGATGGAGCAAAAGCACGGGCTGGAAACCGATCGGAGACGAGTCCAACGAATTTGTTCACTGGAAACGAACTGGCAGACATACGTGTAGAATCCTCATGGTTTGCGTGACTGAGCCAAAGAAGCAAACTGATCGACTCATAAGTATCGCTGTCCATGGAAACGTACAAGCAATATATGTGGAGTACTTCGGCGTGCAAAAGGTGTTGCGTTTTTATTTGATTTACTTGGCTTGACGCACGCGAGTCTGTGAACGAATAATTTTGTAACAATACCGGAAAGTTTCACCATCTTTGATGTTATCCTAGCATATTTCGGATGGAAATGGATAAATCCTATGGGACAGTGCATTCCTGTTCGTACAAGTTACTGGAGTGAAGGTTTAGCTTCCCAGATTTCCTTCATTTGGCTAACATTATGCTGGGCTTATTTTGTTCTGTCATTGCAACCCATTTTACTAACTACTTGCTCGTTCGATGCCTAAGTTAAATGGCTCAGCGCCTGACTGCAACTCATGGATTGTGCACGCGGCGAAATATCTACCAGGCACACATTGTATTGGCCTGGTTTGATGTTAGCGCGTCCGCAGAACGTCACGATATGTCACAGGTCCCTAAAGAGCAAGGCTAAAGAGACTGGGTAGTTCAATGAGACTTCGCTATGAGATGTGAACAAGATGACAAAGCAGTAGAGGACACAACGTATCAAATAGTATTTTCCGGTTAGCGGACGACAGCCGTGGTTGATGGCTCGTTGTGTATCTCACGTAATTGATTTTAGTTTGCGACTGCACGCGTGTGTTTGTGCGGGTAGGGGCTAAAAACTGTGTTGTGGGCGTAAATGTGATCCGTCAACTTTAACTCCAAATGTTGGTTATGGTGGGTCGAGTGAGTGTAGACACGCATGCGTGTGCGGGGAATTGTAAGTCTTAATCCAGATATGAAGGAAAAGAGAATGTGCCCGAAAGCGATCCACATTTCCCTTGAAATAGTTGTGTACCCATCCTCACTTTCCGTATTCATCCTTGTCTTTCTCTTTGGTTCTCTTCCAAGTAGAGTCACAAGATGAATGAGTTTTGTAACATATGTACACCGAAAGCTCTCGCGACACCTCTTTCCATATGCAGTCATAGCTGCATCTATCATCTATCCCCTTATTCCAATCTGCGTGTCATTTTGGGAGCCTTCCTTTATATTCAAATTATCTTGCCTAACACTTTGATATTTATGATAGCAGCCTCAATCTTTCTACTCTCCAAGCATTGGTGCTTTTCGAAATGTGTAATGTACTCAAGTAGATATATGGCGTCGTTGGCATTTTGATGATACAGCTAACGCATTCAGTCTGCACTTTATGGGCTGCTAAGTTTTCTCTGAGCGGTTGTCATCAGCGACCTCCTTGCCCCTTCAGCTTGTCTTCTCCAATGTGTCATACGAAACTGAATGGTAAGGCACACCCATAAATTATTCAGCCTCCTGCAGGGTTACTTTCAAATCGCAGCACAATATATGTATGCGCACAGTGTGTTCCTCTGCAACGGGCTCCATTTTTATTCTGCACGATTTAGCACTTGCTTCCATTTTCGCCCAACATCCGAGGTATTTGCAACCGTAACCTGACCTTTCAGGGGATGCTTATTTCCGAAAGATAAACAAACACAGTAAACAGATCATTTAATGCTTGTCTTTACTGTTATAAACCAGTTTGTGTTTCAATTCACTTCATGAGAACCACGGAGAGCAAATTAATTCCAAATTCAATACACAACAATGACAGTGAAACAGTATATCGTTCACATATCTTCTGAGTAACGTCCTTGACCATTCAATGACCACTAAGTGTGGTAAAGCAAGTGATATGTGGAATTGTTCACTACATACTGGAGCTGTTTTCCTTGTAATGATTTTGTGACCGTGGTTTGGCAAAGTCACAGGTGGTAGTGAACGTGCGCTGTTTTTCTTGCCATGAGCGATGCACCCAACCGGTCAGGTCTTTACAAATACTTCGGATGACATAAGCATCCTTATCACGTAGCACTCAAAATTTAATCTGTAAAGTTGGTCTAGCTGTCATTACTAGCACGTTCAATCTATGGTGTAATAGGGTAAAATCCACATTTATGTTCCAACTTGTAACAATCATCATTTTCTTGAAAGCTTCACAATGAAATGCACTCCAAGCTCTAACTGCGTCCATTCCGTTGGGTGACATTTATGGACTATATTTGTACGAATAGAGTAACCATCTTCGTAACTTTTTTCCCATCTACTTATCTATGTTTAATTTACTGATTTTTCACTTCCTGCTTAATAGCGTTGAATGTGTTGGCATCTTGAAACTTCGCATGAGTGATGTCGATCAACGAAACAAAACAAATGCCATATCAAAGACGAACGGTACAGCAACCTCTAGGAAGCTACTCTCTTCCACCGACACCACGCAAGCCTCTAGTTCAGCGCTTCTCGTCAAAACAACAAGTAGAAAGACTGGCAAAGCACGGTTGGTTTTCCGTGCGATCTTGCTTCATGAAGAAACCGGTACATTCGACGTGGTGCAAACGGTATCCGACCCCATACTTTGCAGTAAGCTTTCCCATTATGACACGTAATTTTCTCAATTGTTACTGCAAACCTGCTTCTCCTCTATCTCGAATACGTGTGCTACGCCGATATGTCATAGCAGTCATAGCAAAGGTGAGATTTGGCACAGTGTGCATTACAGCAAGCAATTCCGTTTTTTTATCTGTAGTCTGTCTTTGTTAATTTTATATGGGTCCTCCATGTGGTCTGGCGACTTTTAAAGTGACTTTATGGAAAACCGCATCGATAACGGTAGTGTTTGTAGATAACATTGTTTGTAGATGTTGATGTCGCGCCGTTCCACATACTAACCATGTTACACAGTAGTGGTGAACCAAGACTTATCCTGTCATTGCTAGTTGTGTTTTGCTGACAACAGTTGTTCTAGTTTGTTGTTGCTGCAATCGCTGCTAACTTTACGGACGCTGATGTGCTTATCGTCGTTATTGTCGCCATTGTCGTGTTGTGAACGGTGAGCGTGTGTTATCAACCTCATAACCACTACAAAGAATTTTAATCTTTCTTTTTATTTGGTATCCTCGTTTAGTGGCATAGACTGCGTTTTCATCGATTTGCATGTGGATGCCGTATGAAGCCGTCCGCTACGATTGCCCTTTACCACTCAAGCTTTTGCACCATTTTCATAAATACTGTCAGTTGAATCAGATGGAAATTGGGTGCTGTCCGCCCGAAAACACTGCACAACCACGACGAGTTTCCATGTCATTGCATCTCATCAGGTTGAGATAGCAGGCCTCCAACCCGCAGCCACTGGAATAGAAGCCGAAACCTCTACCTCAACAACTATCAGTTGAATTTTTCATGTGTTATTTCACGTTGCTTCATAGAGTTGCTGGACGCGAGGCATAACTTAACTTTGGCTTATGTGAACGGTATCCATGTGCAGTGCACTCTGCCCTCGACAAGCATCTAGAGTGGCACCACAATGTGATAGGTACCCTACATCATCAAATTGCAGAGTAATGACAGCGTGTTATTGTCAATATTATCCGTGACAATGAGGAGATAACGAGCGCTGAGCAATTTATACTCCTTGGCAACTGCACTAGCAGCATCGAGCATGGGACGCATAAATATTCTTCATAGCCAGAACTCTGCGACATTGTGCAGCCAAATGGAGGCCGCACTTTGTCTTCCTAACCATGCAACATGGGGTTCAGTTTAGTGATCCTAACATGTGGAGTGGTAGACGCAGCCAGAAGCTTCATCTGTGTAGTGCTCTCGTTTATCCTGCTCAAGCGTTCTCTTTCCTTATTTTTCATTCTGCAAATAAAGTGATCTAGGGGTTTTATTCACCTGCTCATTGAGTCCCCACAGGTAGGCAGACCATCTAACAGACAGTTGTCTCGTTATTGCCTCAAGTGATCCAACATTATCCACTGCAGTGGATAATCATTTCATACCTAGGTACTTGCTGGCATGTCGTCTCCCCTCCTACTGGTATCAGCTGGGAGTAGAATTACTCGGACACGCCTAATACGCTACTCTAAAATGACGAAGAATCGCCAACAACCTCAAGTGATAGCTAGGATACTAGGTAGACACTGCGGAATTGCTGTACTCCAGATTACGTCAGTTTGATCTTCGTCGCTCCTAAATTACCTACCTCTCTCCTTTATTCATAGATTGACTAGCACTTGTGAAGCATTCGTGAAGAGTATTTAGGGTTTCGTTGAAATTGATCCTGCATTGACCACGTCCTCATCTTAGGTCAGCTGTTGGAGGGACTTCGCACTTACTGGCAACCAACCCTATTCTTTTGCTACGAGATCCGGAATGCCTTCAATTCAGTGGATTGAGGTGTTTTGGTTCTTTTGTTTAGCAAAAATTCTCCCACTAACTACTGCTATAATTGCCTGGCTGTAGCAACTCGCCTGGTCTGGACGAGGGGTAGGATGTTGTTCTAAGGGTTTTACACACGCCCAACTCGAATGTTCATCACCGAGGCAATGGAGTCCAGGAGAGAGTGTGAAAACCAAGATTTCAGCAGAGCGCTTCTTCTACTCGGCACTAAGCCAATGGAGTTGCGACCCTCATTATATACCGAGGCTAGGGATGTACAGGAATTCCTACAATGTATAGTCTGCGTAGTCAAACGTCATTAAGGGGAACGGAACATGTGTTTCACCTGAATTCGAAGTGAAAGAGGGGGATAATAGAACAGTTTATTTCACATGCTTACGAGTGAGTAAGAGGAGATTTTTCGGGACAGGTGAGTTTACATGGACCTGATGTTTTGTGCTAAGTTTGGGTACTCAGTTTGTGCCATCTGGTGGGTATGAGCGTTCTCCATTACTTAATAGGTAAACGTTATAAGACCGCCTTCCACACCTAGTTCGGGTAGAGTAAGGTTTGTACACAAACTGAGGTCGCGCTGCACTATTTCCAGTCCTCTGAGACAGGGACGGAAACCGTCATTTCCTTCCTTTTAAAATTGCTATTGAAGGACACCAATCAGGTGTGGAGTTGCCTTCAGATGATCTATTTCTTAATTTGGAGTATGTCGCCTTTGCTACCTTACTTTGTGACAAGGTAAAGAGTTGCCAAACAGTATTAGAAGGATTAGCGGTAGCCTTCAATCGTTTCGGGTTGCGCTTTGCACTCTTTAAAACCAAATATTGCTTCAGGATTAGCGCGAATCATTTCTTATGCTAACCCCTGGTATGCATCATCTAAATGTCTTTTGCTAAATCAACTACATTGGTAACTGTATCAGAGCTTGTGGAATGCAAGTTATGGTCATGAACCCGTATAGCAAAAGCTTGCGGTGGTTTTGAATAGCGATACAACATATAGCCTTATTGTTGTTCTGATGGACATAATCTACAATGCTTTCATCTTTACGACCCTTCAGTACACTTGGGAAACCATCTCAATCATATGTAGCTACGTGAAGGGGCTAGTTTCGTTCGACCATCGCTGCATTTGTGAGTTGGCTTATATCTGTTGGGAACACTATGCGAGCTGTTAGCGCGCACGGCGCATGACTTATGGCGTAGGAAGGGTTAGTACACTGCTCAGCAACTTGATTTCACTCCCTAGGCCCTAGTCACGCGTTACGCATACTGACGCACCCAATCCTACAGCTTACTTTATTTGCACAAGAGGTGTCTTCCTGAAGGAGGAGAGGAGGCTATTCGAGTTGCTGGATAACATATAAAATTTTCTCACTTATCCGAGACCGGAAGCAGAGCCCCTTCTTGATGAATTTGCTGTCCTTTTGTATCGAGTTGACACTTTTTCCCACCAGTCTTTGGCAGCAAAGCATGTGTGACTGCCGCACTAGATCCAATGCGGCCCTAGACGTTTTATCCGTTAACAAGGTTAAGTTTTACTCCGCGGGTACTTGAGGGCCACTTAGTAGCTCTGGTCACTCAACAGTTAAACTGTATCCTGTAGGAGGCTACCCGTTTCAATGATACCAATTTCAGGTGGAGGAACTGTTCCGTGCAGAACATTGATCGACTACGTAAAATGGCTGCATCCACAGACTTCATTTTACTTTTTGATGTTGCCCTATCCGCGTATTGCTATTAATTGAGGAGATAGACGAAATTTATCCCGTCATTTTCTGTCCATGCGGAACACTTTTTTCTGCGAGGGCAAATGCTTTTCCAGCAAACTGAAGCGGCGGTGTAGATCAAAGGTGAGAGCTAATAAAACACTTCAGTTAACTCCCGGTCTATACTTATTAAGGAGGCACGCCGTCTTAATTACTTGTAGTCTCAGGCCCTATATTGAAAAAGAAACTGTCGTGAAATTTAGAGAATATTGAAAGAACTAAGCTGAGCTTATTCGGCGTACATCCACCTCTGATGCTGATGCTGATGCTGAAAAAATGAAACATGACTTCTGCAAATCCTACAGTACTACAATCAAAAGCCCATCCCTTGTCCATCTTTAATTGTCTGTGCACTTGTTGTCCCTATCTACAGCGGAAATGTGCACAAATTATAAATTCAGTCACACTCAGGAAAAGCGAGCGGTCTGAACAGAATGTCTCGCATTGGAAAGTGAATTTGAAGTACACGTTGTGTGGGTGGATTGCGACGCGCAATCTCAAAGTAGACCGCGATTCCCATTGAAGTGAACCTTGGCCATTCGATCACTAGGACCGTAGCTGATGAAGCAGCAGCAAATTGGGTGTTGCCCGCCTGAAACCACTGCACTCCATGACGCGTTTCGAGGTTATTTCCTCTCATCAGAGAGAGATGGCAGGCATCGAACCCGGGACCATTGAGATGTTGGTTGTGACCGCCACCCCTAAGCCACCGGGTCACGACGGGCAAAGCTTGGCACAACGGCAAATAACAGATTGGAAAGTGAATTTGAAGTACACGTTGTGTGGATGGATTGCGACGCGCAATCTCAAAGTAGACCGCGATTCCCATTGAAGTGAACCTTGGCCATTCGATCACTAGGACCGTAGCTGATGAAGCAGCATTGTTATCAAGGAATGTGCTGACTTCTTGGATAAACCACCGATTACCTTATGTACCTTATGTACACACAATAAGTGGAAATGTTTGAATGCTGATGAATTTCAATATTTCGCGAATACCAAAGCAGAGAGCAAGAACGTATCAATTGATTGCTTGTAATTCCGTAGCCCAAAGAGCATTTGAAAAAATAGTCTTGGGAAGACTCTGGTACAAAGCACACAAATGATCGTCTTGGACTTGCTTACTGCAGCGCGAACTTAGACCAAGCCACATGGGTGTCTCGTACATTCGGTTCTGTCATCACTAAACAATAGAAGCAAGTCGATCTGAGTTCGCCTTTTGGAATACAGCAACGCATTCGGCTGCATAACTTGTGAATTGCTGTAAGAAAAGCTACGCTATCCTCTTGTACTCAGGGTACCTGACTTGGAAGCAAATGTTTCTCGTCCCTACTCACAAACACTAGTGTATTTCAGGAAGTTATCCTGTCCCCATTTGTATTTTCCGCTCAAGTCCGCGCAATGCCAGTCACTGCGGTGG